TTTCAAATTAGGCTGTGAAATCCATATTGCTTACCAAGGAGGAGCCTCAGAATGATCAAATTACCAGTACCCTACAGAGAAGGTGGGCAGTTTCTTGTTACATTAAAATATGCCAATATTTTTTGGCTCTGTGTCAGGTGGATATTTGGTTCCCTCATTTTTAAGCTTAAGAAAATACCCAGAAATTTCCATGGTAAATTCAAAGTCATAGTCAAGAATGGGACACACCAGCTTCCCAAGATCAAGATGCCAGAAAATGCAAAGCCAAACCTATCTTATACTGACTTAGTCCTTAGGTTTATTCTTCATTACCTTCTAAAACTGTTGGTCATATCCCCACCTCCAGTCCTGAAGCAGCCCTTATACATCTGACATTTAGTATGCATTGATCTGCTTGGCACAAAGTTTATCTGAGATCCCAACCTCTGGGTAAAATTAGCAAGAAGTGTGAAATGTTGATGAACAGAATCTCTCTCCTTATATTGCAAATGGAAGGGTCTACAACAGAAATAAATCCTAGAACACATGGTCCTATACTTGGGCTACTCAGCCAATCACATAAGAAATCTGAAAAAAACAAAAACAAAACAAAAGAAACCACTGCCTTTTAAAGTCACGAATCCTGGAATTCTTTAGCTGAATTGTTTAAATAAGGGCACTTTCCATGGGTCTCTGACAGTTGACTCAGCTGACCAAGGAACTCACTAAATACAAAAGTTACTGTCTACACAATGACTACCTCATGCTACTCAGGCCCATCCTAAGCCTTCTGATTTGTGTACCACAGAGATAGTTTTTACCTGTTTTTTGTTTGTTTCTTTGTTTATCTTTTAGCAGCAAAACACTGAAGAAATACAAATGTTTCCCTATTATTCCATCACTTAGAAATGCACTCTTGTCCTGGGAAAGCAAGACTAAAATGTCCACACATGATAAATGTGTACCTTTAGTCAACAAGATTTAGATAAAGAACTTAAGAAACCAGGATGGATGAACAGTACTGTGGACCAAGCCACAGCAATGCAAGCATCTCACATACAACCTTGCAAAAGGCCCCTCCTCTGCCCTGAAAGGATTATTGCCTCCAGCTCAAACAATATTCGTTCTCCATTTCTTCGCATGGTGGCATCTTTATTTCAGCTACTACCAGCCAGGACATCCTTTTTCTCTCTCTTCCTTCAGGTACTCAGCTCCCATAACAACTGATCTGAGATATGGAAGCCCTGACCAAAGATGTCTAGTTCTAGATGTCTACAAAGCAGAGCATGTCAAGGTCAGTGGGTCATGGGCAGGACAAGAGAATACTCACTCCTAACAACCTGCCATCCTTAAAGGGCTTTGATTATATTTAAGTCTCACAAGTCAGCACAGTGCCCCTCAAGCTGGTGTTTAGCCTCATTACTCATTTGTTTTATCTTTTTGAAGATAACTGTCCTAAGTTGTTTAAAAGAGGAAGCAAGAATTGGTAAAAATAATGGATATAATAAGATAGAGGAAAGACAGAAAAAAGAAGATATCTAGTCACTATCTCCATCCCACATATAATAGTTTTCTGTCCAACTGCCTTTGTTTCACAGATTAGAAAACTAAGAGAACAAGAGAGGAAGGGACTCTTCCTTCCCAGGTCTCACAATTACTAGCAGAGTTGGGCCAGTGGAGATGCTCCGGCCTCAGTTCTCAGTTTTTCTCTGCTAAAAAGTAGGGTCTTAATAAAGACCAGCTGGATCAACAAAGGGAGTGGCTTACTTAAGAACATCCTGAGGACAGAAATTATATTGCCTTCCCCCTTTCTGAATGTAGGCTTATGGAGCATTCAACAGCAGATGGGACAAACCACGTTCACATAGAGGTAGGCTCAAGTCTAATGACACCAAATACTAGTCAGCTACACCATTCCTCCTGCTCCAAGGCACAGACAGTTCAGTATACCTAAGCCAATTAAGAGGAATAAGCCAGTTCTTTCAAAAATTGATTATTAAGAAAAACAAATTTAAAAATCCACAGAGCACTTTGGAGTCTATCTAGAACTTTCATATGCACTGTTGTATCTGACCCTCACAAGAGTTCGATTTTCCAAGTAAAAACAGAGAACCAAAGAAACCTTGCCCCGGCTGACAGTTGGTAAGCAGCAAGGCTGGGAGTTGAGCCCGAATCTTCCATCTCCATATTCAGTGCAGCTACTTGTATACTACCTCCACCCAATGTTATTAATGACAAAAAGCCAAGCACAACAGTAGCTCAAAGGGCTGACTGAACCACACCCTCTAGCCAGCTAAACAATGACTAAAATCCTTGCTGGAACCCAAAACAGGCTCTGCCTCCCCAGAATTTCAAGACTGAACATTTTCACAGTAGGTTCAGACCCAGGCATCTGAGAGAACCCCAATGCCTTGCTATCCTGCATGAACTCTATCCTGATCCACGAATCACACAAGTGTGGCCAGAGCAGGACCTGACAAATGCATTGGGCCCTTGATGACACAACCCAGCTGTGCAGGCAGGTTCCCTACAAGTGAGCTTCCAAACATTCCAAACATTGTGCTGCAGAACTGAAGGGAGGAAATGAGCTGCAGAGGGAGCTGGCAAATCTGACACAACCTTCCATTCCACATTTGCACTTTTGCACCAGTAAAGCAGTTTAAAATAGGCTCCCCAAGGGTGGCACAGACCATGCCTTCAAGAATACACTAGAAACCATCAAGAGGTTCTGAGAAGTGGGAACAGAGTGGGAATAGAGAACTTCAATTTCAATTCTTACCATTGCTACATATTCCTTTCATATTTTTGAAAACTAGTTCAAAATTAAATTTAAAATCTATAATGACTGCACTGGAAAGTCATGGAGGCAAACAGAAAACCTGACACTAGATGAAGTAAACTAATACACAAGGAAAGAATTTTAAACAAAAGCTTTGGAAACACTGATCTAGACATGCGACCTTTATAAAGCAAAACAGGGGAAAGAGACTCATGTACAATTTTATGTACATATTTCACAGTAATACAGGAAATAGAGCTATTTTTTGAGGAGCAAAAAAATTGTTACTACTTAGTACTTTGTGCTAGGCATTCTACCTTATTTAATCTCAATAACCATGGAAGAAATGATATTATCCACAAGTTATAGTTCAGGAGACAGAAATTAAGCAGCTTCAAAGAGCTGCACGGCTACTAACTCCTGGGGCATAAAGACAGAAAGGGCCAAGCTGTAAATAAAGATAAACCCTGTAAGAACAGCCACTACTGCATGGCAAAAGACAATCTGCACCTATGGAGAGAACACAGAAAGGAATGGTTTGATTTTGACAATCATTTTAGCTGTACTCCTATTGTGGGTCATATTCCTCCCATGAGGTCCCTATGTGGGCAGTGCTGGGCTCCACATTCAGAGATGATGGAACTGAGACACTATCAGTAGGACATGAGCATACCGAAGTTTTCACAAAGTGTTGATGGATTTGTACTCATCTACCCATTTTTCTCTCTTAGCCCTCCTTGACATCCAAGGCTCCATTTGAGAGATGACTGATGGCACAGCGGGGGGCTGCCTGCCACAGTACCATGGGGCACAAGGCACTACCCAGAACCCTGCCACATGTACAGTGTGAGCATACATACCCACAACTCCACATTCATTACCACCATTCTCTAAGGTCTAAGTCCTCTTACATGCCTGATATAAGGAAGAACACCTTAAAAATAACGATAGCCAAAGTTTATTAATATTTACTGAGCTTTTATTACTGCAGGAGAAATTCTGCAAAGTACATCCCATGCACTGCACTTCAGTCAATCTTCACAACCACCACCTCTCAGGTCAGGTGATATCACCATGTCTAGGTCATGTATGAAGAAACTGCCATTAAAGAGTGGTTAAGTAACTTACTAGAGGTCAAACGGTAAGAAGTAGAGCTAAAACTCAATCAGTGAGCCTATAATTCCCAAGTCCAGGCTCATAACCACTCTGCCTCTCACAAAATATGTTTCACGTCCTTTTCTTCAACCATTATTAACGCTACAGAACAAAATATCCAATTAGAAAGAGGCATTTTTTAAATTAGTGGGCTATGTAAGATAAATGGCATAAAATACTGGAAGTATAAATTTAAAATTATGAACTTAAACTCTAATCAAGGCAAGAAATTTCAATATATCCCATACATACTCACCAACACCTCTATTATAATCAGCTAATTGTCCTGAACAAACACTAGGGTCCTCACAGACTCTTGGCTGTTCATGAGCCCTTTAACCCCAAGCATCTCAAGAAGGGATAAAATACCAACACAATGGGCTCAAGCTCCCTTCTTTACCACTGCTGACCTTATTTATGTCTTGAACTTGTCTGTGCCTATTGAATATGAAAAAAGAGAAGACTTCCCAGAGATAAACTGTGAGGCTAAAAATCCCCTCAGTTCCAAAAATAAAATAATAATAATAATAATAATAATAATAATTCTCAATGCCTTTTTTCTTTAGAAAACTGGATACCCTTTGAAGTTTCAAACCTAATGCTAAATTCTATGACGAATCATGTTTCTATACTAACAGCACAACCAACTTTTCCTTAGAGCAGTCATACACCAAAATAAGAATGACAGCCTTGCACAGTTGTCAGATGGACCCCACTAAATGATCAAGTTCAAACTGGGAACCTTCCAATGCCTGTACGCAGTTTCACAAAAAATAGCTGAAATTAACACAACTACAGTTTAGGAGCACCAAGCAGTATCTAACCACCTCCAAGAACAACACAATTCTGTTAAAGGAAAAAATCACAACATGCCCAAATATTACAGACCCTGTACAAATAACACCCTCTTCATTTCTGTCAGCCTCATTTAGAAAACAATATATATGAATTATCATTTTCCTAAGTTTCTAAGACTTTCTTACCATTCTTTCCAGTTTAAAATCCAAGGTATTTTCTGTAACTGCAATTATATATAATCCAGTACTGCCCAGAACAGGACAAAGAAAATAAACTGAATTCCAGTTACCTCCGTCAGCAAAGAGTCTGCCCATAATTTTGTGAGGAATACAAAGAACATTCTCCTGTTCCATCTGTTCAGCAAACCTTCATCTTCAGCAAAGGCTCTTTTAATGTACTTCTATAGCTGCTCCTGTTGTAAGTACAAACTGCTACACACTGACTCTGCAGTGACATTCTCCCAGAATGCTACGTCCCTCAGGGGCTGAGGGATAAGAACTTGAAAGAAGTTACAGGAGAACTCCCCCCACCCCCTCCACTTAGCCTCAACAGGCAGCTTCCCTCCAAAAGATCGGCTTCAAAAGTCCAGACCCAGTGAAGTCACACATGACCTCACAAACCTCCAACTTAACTCTTCAGAAGCCAGACGGCAAGCTGACAACAGGGAGAAAGGACAACTGTCTTAGTTGATTTGGAGTGGTTGCTCTTATGGGAGAAAGAGAAGTTTGTCCAACATAATTTTAAAAAATAAAAAAAAAGAAAGTAATATCAGCATTGTTCTTCCATAATAACACTAGGTTTCTGAAGCACTGTTTTTGAAGACTCTAAGTTCTTGCAGCACACACATACTGGACCTAAAAGAATGACTGAAAGAGGGAATACAACCTAATCCACTTAGATTTTATAAAATTCACACTTAATCTTATGTGATCTGTGTTTTCCTATTTTTATTTCTACTTTTGTTTCTCCTTTACTGCTATCGTTGAAATTAAAGCATTCATTTTCCCTGTTCAAGTTCTGTTTCTTCAGACAACCAGAGGTGGACAGGCAACACTCACAGCTGTCAGACACAACAGCGACTGCCTGCAGATGCGTCCAAGAAACCAGAAACTATAGGAGTCCCATAGAAAGGCCAGCCAGCAGACCCAACCAATGGATAGCAGAGGCTGCATCCAGTGCCCCTAAAGGGAAAGGAAACTCGTGTTTTACTTCATTCTGTTCCTCATGTTTTTTCTTTGGACACCAGCTGTTTTTGTTGAGATAATGGAATTATAAGGATCAGGAGGTAGAATAAGTAAAAATTACTTTATAAACAGAAGTAGATAAAATTACATTCTCTCAAAGAAAATGTAATATGACCTTTCAAGAATGCCTTGATTCACCCAGAAAATGATTACAACTTATTGTCCAGCAATTGTATTCCTAAATATATACCGAGCCTAAAGAAACTCCCCCATAAGTGCACAAGAAACAACAAATTAGAATGTTCACTACCAGGTCATTTGAGATAACAAAAATACAAGGCAGCCAAAGTGTTCGTAAATAGGAAAATGGAAAAATATAGTATACATTCATGTAATGAATACTATACAGCAAATTAATAAAGTAGGACTTTATGAATCAGTAATAATGAATTTGAAAAAAAGCAAAAAGTTACCAAAGGAAAGAAGAAAGTAACAAGTATATAAAGTCTAAAAACATGAAGATACTACCTAGTGTCTCCAGGTGTACACTTGTATAGGAATCTGTAGCCAAACACCCACAGGCCAAGGTTACCTTAAGGAAGAGAAAGAGCGGAATGGGAAGAGGGAGGCATTCACAGGAGTTGGCAATTCATCTGCAATGTTTCTTTCCTAAATTGGCTGGTGAGATCACAAGTGTTTATTATTTTCCATACCCTTGGGATGCCTAAAATGTTTCAGAAGTTGTAAAATGTCAACTGCATAATGCCTGCCTTTGAGCACAGCAGCACCTGTTCAGTCAGAAAGATTAACAGAAGAGGCAGGGAGGTTTACATCCCCTCAGCTCCCAACTCTCAAGTCCCCACATCCAAGCAGCTGTTAATAATTCTGCCTCAGTTTGGCTCTGTCTGGACAGTCACCCTGCCCACTACCCGCCACAATCATTTACACACATCCACTTCTGCCTTCAAAACCCACCACAGAGGTGCCTAGCTGCCTCAGCTGGTTAAGTGCCCAACTTCTGTTCGGGTCATGATCTCACGGTTCGTGGGTTTGAGCTCCACATCAGGCTCTGTGCTGACAGCTCAGAGCCAGGAGCTTGCTTCATATTCTGTGTGTGTGTCTCTCTCTGCCCCTTCCCCCACTCTGTCTCTCACTCTCTCTCTCTCTCTCTCTCAAAAATAAATAGGCATTAAAAAAACAAAACAAAACATAAAGCAACACTTCCAGGAGGACCTCCACGACACCTGCTGGAAGTAGCCTCAGCCTCAGACCTTTACTGTCTGGCTCTCTAGGCCTTGTAGTAAAATTACTTGTGAAGTTGTCTGCCTCCTCTCTGACGGACACCACTACCTAGTATAGAGCTGCTGCTAGATAAGTTCTTTGCCAAACAAAAACCTAGTGTCTAGTATGTGCTGGACCCTGTAACAGAGGTTCTCTGAGTGTCAAGACTAAAGACTTGAAGGAGATCATTGTCCATATCTGACTAAGTACATTACAGGATGAATCCTAAAATCATTGTTAAGGGAACTCTTATGGTTTTGCTTTACAACATTCAATACCTTATTTTCTCTTTACTAAAAAGTTTATATTACTACTCTTGACTAGAAAATGTCACATTCTTTGTGTTGTAGTGGAGCTGCTAAATAAAGACAGTAAAACAAATGGTCATTAAAAATCCTCACCTTCAAGTAATTGAAGGCTCTTAGAATAATAATAATATATAGATTATTATAGATATACAACATCCTAAATTGATCTGGCCACAAAAAAGTTTTAAAGAAAATAGCTCAATCAGTGCTATTGCTGATAATAACAGACAACATATTCTGAGTACTCCATCAAGTGGAAGTAAATTATTATTCCTTTTTCAGGTAAGTTGATGTTTAGGGATATAATTCACCAAAATTTAAGCAAAGCAACCTGACTTACAAACCCACACTGTTTACTAAGAAACCATATTGTTTCCTAGCAGGAAAATGGATCAACCTCAATTATATTTCTAGAGTAAAGATGGGCACCCCATGATCACTACACCAAAGATGAAACAAGATACCATCACAAGGTTCACTGCCAGCACCACTCACTTACACAAACCGCTGTTAGACTTGTCCCTGCCACTAGAACAGTGACCCTGCTCACCTAAGAAGAGGGACTGTCTTACTTAGTTTTGTATTCTGCCTCTAAACAGTTTCCAGTGTTTCTCAAACTTTAAAGTATTCATGAATAACCTCAGAATTTGTTAAAATAGTTAAAATACACATTTTGATTGAACAGGTCAGGGGTGAGGTCTGTGGTACACATTTCTTTTTTTTTTTTTAATATTTTTTAATGTTTTTATTTATTTCTGAGAGAGAGAGACAGCGTGAGCAGGGGAGAGTCAGAGAGGGAGACACAGAATCTGAAACAGGCTCCAGGCTATGACCTAGCTGTCAGCACAGAGCCCGACGTGGGGCTTGAACCCACGGAACCATGAGATCATGATCTGAGCAGAAGTCTGCTGCTTAACCGACCGAGCCACCCAGGCGCCCCTGTGGTACACATTTCTTACAACTCCAAGATGAGAGGCTGACAGCCCAAGCTGAACATCAGAATCACTCGGGAATCTTTTTCATAATTTCCTTAACGTTTTATTTACTTTTCAAAGACAGAACAGGAGCGGGAGAAGGGCAGAAAGAGAGGGAGACACTGAATATGAAGCAGGCTCCAGGCTCTGAGCTGTCGGCACAGAGCCCAATGTGGGGCTCAAACCCACGAACCATGAGATCATGACCTGAGCCAAAGTCTGACTGAGCCATCCAGGTGCCCCAAACAGTGATAGCTTTAAAAGAGTCCCCACCCAGGTGGGGGTGCCTGGGTGGCTCCCTTGGTTAAGCGACAGACTCTTGGTTTTGCTTCAGGTCATAAGCTCATGATTTGTGAGTTCAAGCTCAGCGTTAGGCTCTGCATTAATGGTGTGGAGCCTCCTTGGGATTCTTTCTCTCTTCCTCTGTCTCTGTCTGTCTCTGTGTGTCTCTGTCTCTCTCTCTCTGACCCTTGTATGTATGCTCTCTTTCTCTCTCAAAATAAATAAACGTTAAAGCTATCACTGTCCGGATGTCACCCTCCACCAACAGAATCAGAATCTCTGGAGGTGAAGCATGGGAAGTTGGGAAGTACAAAGTGGGTAACTCTTATGTGCAGTCAGGTTACAGAATCCTATTCTAGAGCTTTCCTACTTTAGCTTGGTCCATGGACTGCTGTTCCAGACAAGTCAGTGTCTGTCAAATGTCATTGTTTATGTAGACCACCAGGATATCTTCTAAAAATGCAGATTCTAACTTAGTAGGTCACAGGTGGGGCCTGAGATTCTGCAATTCTAACAGAGTCCCAGATCAACACTGCTAGGAAGCAAGGTAGAAAGATTAAAAATCTCAGTAGTTCAGTGTATGACTTATAAGGGCTTCCTTTAATAATTCTTAATTGAGAGACCAGTAGGACACTACAGATGGAGGTTTGGGCTCAGGCATATGAAATACCATATGGGATGGGGCGCCTTTAGTCGGTTAAGCGTCCGACTTTCGCTTAGGTCATGATCTCACGGTTCGTGGGTTCAAGCCCCACATCGGGCTCTGTGCTGACTGCCAGCTCAGAGCCTGGAGCCTGTTTCAGTCTGTGACTCCCTCTCTCTCTGACCCTCCCCTGCTCACGCTGTCTCTCTCTCTCTCTTAGAAATAAATAAAAACATTAAAAAAAAAAAAAAAAGAAATACCATATGCGTTGTGGGGATTATGAAGTCAAATTATTGATCTAACACTGGTTTAGATGTAGTTTGATATTAATCTTCATTAGCATGCAGGAGAACTTACCATGCACGATGGCCATGATACTGAATATTAAGGCTCCGTTAGGAGCTTGAGCCTATTTAATACACTCTTTACATCAGTTCACAGAAAGCCTATGAGATCCACAGTAGAAAAAGAAAAAAAAAGATAAAGGCACTGAAAATGTACCCACTTTGGGTTTTGATAAATTGGTATTCCTATGTAAAATACCTTCATATAACTTTCTCTTTTTGCTTCCCCAAACAACAAATCTATGGATAATATTCCTCATCCAGTATTACAAATCTTGTGATAAATGACCTTTGCTTAAAGGAAATGTTGTTTCCTTTGAAAGTTAAAAACTGCACTGATATATGAATAAAAAGATTGCTATATCATCCCAACCAGTTAAAACAGTAACTGCCAATCCAGGACCCATAATTATCCTTGTAATAATATGTATGTCCAATGTCCTTTGTCATTTAAAGCCTTGGGGCGCCTGGGCATCCAACTCTTAATTTCGGCTCAGGCCATGATCCCAGG